TGCAGTTTTATTATTTAAATAAAAACCCTAACTTGTCAGCTCTGTAGTCAAGATCTCTAGTGTAATAGCATAATAAGTTACTGCGACCTGCAGTCACCTATCTTTAGTGTAAACATATTTTTCAAGGAAGGAAGTTCCCAGACTTTGTTCTCTCAGCTGGGGATCTCACTAACAGAAGCCAGACAAACCTGCACGAAGCCTGGACTAATATCCCTACAGTTTAGAGTGGTACTAACTACTAGGATAGACAATGATCGTACCTCTTGGGTCAAGGTTACTCAGTTAGTAGGTTAGTAATAGTGTGTAATAGTTGGTAGTAATAGTAGTTCTGTGTCTTTAGATAGAAACACCTCATTTCGGGGTCACTCAGTTCAGGTCTAGCTCTAGCAGATAAAGTACAGTATAGTATTATATATAGTGCAGGATAGTAGGTATAAAGATAGAGGGTACCGGGTATGATCTGACTGACAATTATCTAGTTCTGTGTCATGTCACTGTAACAGTGCAAGTTCTGGTATGTCACGTGGTACGCCATGACTCTGAACTCAGAAGTCTCACAATGGTGTGGTAATTCTACTGATATATAGTGACACAATATGTCACTTCCGTAACATGTCATGTTACACGTCACGACCAACGACCTTGAAACATCGCTCATTGTTGTCTCACCTACTAGAGTATATAAATACACTACTAGAGTATATTTACACTACTAGAGTATATTTACACTACTAGAGTGTGGGCTATTGGTCGGCATCAGACCAGCAAGAGGGAAAATGTTTCATTTGGAGTAATACGGGTATATGGCCCCCAGAATATAGGTGGCCCCCAAAATATAGGTCATGTTAGTGGATACAGTTCTAACCAAGATAAGCGATACTAATGGGATCTGTTACTGCTAGGTTGGAGTAAAACATGTAACTAATGTTTCTGGATACAAATTGTGGACCTACATGAGGTATTTTGGTATATTTGGTCATGACAGCGAAAGATTTAAACGATGTTGTCATTTTCTAGAGGGGTAAATATGGCGAAAAATTGTCATGACAAAAATCTGTCCAACACATGCCATTAAGACTACTGGTATGAGTATAAGTATTATTTTAAGCTATCTTTTCATCGAGACATCTGCAAACTGACAATTTGGAAAAAAGTTATGGCCACCACAATTTTACGGGCCCCCAGAATATAGGTCTATACGACCCCCAGAATATAGGTTGGTCAAAAACCCTGAACATGCCCAAAACCATGCTTTGGGATGCTCTACTTGTAGCTAATAGTCTCCTGAACCCACATATCAAGTTTTATCAAAATTGGATAAAAATTGGCCGAGTTATGGGATAAAAACAAAAACCATATGCCCATATTTGGGCATATGCACCAAATTTGATCGATTTTGGTCCATAAATTGGTCAAATATCAATATTTTTGAATGAAACCAACTTTATATGGAAGGTAAGCATATATTACACATTCTCTATGATTATCAGCTCAATATCTACCTAACTGTGGATTATGTGTTCAAATAATCGCAAAAAATGAACAAAATCGCCCATATCTCAAACTGACTTCGCTCAAAACAATAGAACTCAATAGGGTTTCAATATTTTCACATGAAATTTTCAGAATCAACGTAGAATTGTCTCATGACCTTAAGTTTTGGGACAGAATTTTGAGTTAGGCCTTTAAAAAAATTTGGCGGCTAAAAATGTCTGATTTACAGTCATTGAGGTGCACATTGTATTGATACAGATAAAAACAGCCCCCCTCAATCATATCTAGGGACACTCCTTCAATCTTATTTAAGTATTTAGTTAAGATCCCTACTAAATGAGTGCATGAAAGCTTTTTAACTAGTAAAATTAAAGATTTTACTCATTACGGGTATATGGCCCCCAGAATATAGGTTTTTAAAAAAAAATAGCGACCAAGATTCTGCATTTTCTCTGTCACCCTGAGCATTAAGGAATGTGGGGTAGTGATGAGAAACAGTTAAAGAACATATGCTGAAGAGATGGCATCATCAAAATGTATGAAGGTGGAGTATTTGAGGACGATTTTTGCATACCTATATTCTGGGGGCCGTAGTTTTTGATTTTTTGTTATTAAGTATACTCTAAACCATTTCAATTTAGTATCTGGAGCCATTGGCATCATCAATACAGTCTCAGCAACATATTCTGACTGCATATAACTGTCTGTGACAATTTTAGAACAACTTAGGAACAGATGTTTGGACCTATATTCTGGGGGCCCTGTAAAAAAATGGTATTTTTACAGGTGAAAAAAAAGTACACTTAAAAACCTAATAATTATTTTCAACTACCCAAGAAACATTTAAAGGGTTATTATGTACATATTTACAGCCTTAAACATGCTTAGAAGTAGTTTTAACACCTGTTTCTAAGTGCTCAAAAAGCGACCTATATTCTGGGGGCCATATACCCGTATAATCAAGCGAGTAGTCTGTAATACCATTAATATAGTGTATGTTTGGAGTAGTGTGGTACAATTGAAGCTAGGTTAGGTGATATATATACCTAATATAACTATATCATGTACGTGTTAGACTTCTTAAATATGGAAATAACAAGTAACATTGTTAAATTATTTTGTAACTCTTAAAAGTTTAATTTACGATAATAATCTCCGCCGCACAAGTATCTTAAACCTCATCTGCTCAGAAAATAACTCGAGGTATACGAGGTTAAGACGTAGGATGAAGCTAGATCAGAGTTAGAACGAGATACTCTATATCATTAATTCTCTACACTGTTTGTTTGATTGGATCAGTGAAATGACCCATTGTCAACTGACCGGCCTGATTTACTTAGTACAGAATGAGTGAGAATCACGAGATAAAATCGCAACTTCTTGGATTTGTGTTTCTCAGAGAGATTATTCAATATTTCATGCTTTAGATTTCGCCTTTATGAGCACCTGTTAGAAATTAAGGTGAAAATTTTGAATATTTTTGATAGTAGGGGGTGACCCCTGTGAGTTATTAAAGTTTAAATGGTTACTTCTGGGACACCCTGTATAATCTTAAAATTTTAGGAAATAGTTTTCTTAAAGAAGTCCCTTAATTCAAGATCCTATTTCAAAAGCACGAGCTAGTGCAAGGAGAGGTACATTGTACTATGTGCATTAAATATATAAATCATATCATAACACAATTTAATCACATTGAGCAGATTGAAATACTATTATATACCGGATATGATAAACTAAATATGATCACATCCCTCATACTTTAAGGCTAATAGATTTGGTCATTTCATTTTCAATCCTATCATATTGAATATTACATATCCTCGTGAATCTATATAATAATCTATATAGATTCCGGAGTGATTTCTGGCTCCAATTTGTTAAGTGTAACATTTAAGTGTGAATATTTCTCAATTCAAATGAAATCCACCAGCCCCTAATGTGGGGCACATGTGCGAATATTACTGTGGAAAACAGGCCACCTGTCTTTACTAGCGGACTCATTTGTTAGATCAATGTATTGTCACATTTACTTACATCGAACTAAAACACCTTATCACGTGGTTAGTCACGTGGTTCACCAACACTAAACACTGAAGGGTATTCTGAAGGAGCAGTATATAACACTAAACACTGTATATCATACTCGACTCTCAAGGGTTGTATCTTAACATGAGGTTAAGGTTGACACGTGGTGTTACGAAGCTGTTAAAGAGACACTTTACCAATTCCACGACCAAGTACACTGTCTTTGACTAGAACAGTGATTTTCTAAGAGTTTACTTTCTGTATACAGTACTGAGTAGCTCCGGGGAGAGCTGTTTCAACACCTTGGCAGAATTCCTGGTTTATTTTCTTAATGACAACATCGGATCTTAATTACAAATTATTACAGAATTACAAAGTTTGTGAAGATGTTATTATCTTACATTTTAATCCCGGTTAACAGAGACAGAGGAAATCCGGCTTGTTTCTAAAAATTAGTCGGTGAGGAGTATTATTACATCATATTATAGCCACCAGTCCTTCGCAAAATTGGCTATCAAACCCGTGCTGCAAAAAGTCGTGCCTTCCTGATTGTGCTAAGAGATGAAATTATCTTTTCTAACAGCTGGTAACCAGCCGAGGAAGCTGGTTTGAGGCTACCCAGATATCTGAGCCTGTCCACCACGAGATCGCATTATTTAGGCATGGTTCAGTGACCAGGGTAAGCAATAACTTGATATAAACCAATCTTGGTGGGACATCTCCCACGACTTATTGAAACCAGGTGTGGTTGTAAGTGGAGGAATGCAGTGAGCTGTATCTCTGTATCTTTTTTAGCAGCTTCATGTAGTTTCTAGAATATAGATATTGTATTTTAAGTGTGATAACAGATGGAAATTGAAAAGTTTTGATAGCAAATATTAAGTAGAACTGGCAGGTATTTGAAGCAATTATTTGAAGCAGAAACACGTTTTCAATATTTATGAAGAAATAAGTTGCAAAGTCATTAGAGGTCATTGTGTAGTACTAACTCAGGGCTTACTACACAACAGAGATTTGGACAATAGACATGGAGACTGGTGGTAATTTGCCTATACTCCTATATTCCTACAGTAAAGTAGTAACAATTGAGTGACACTAAGTAGGCAACAGCTGCACTGCTAAACTAGCACAGTAAAAAGTTAATGAGCCTGATCAGGAATAGTTCATATTCTGTGGAATACTTCCACCAATCACTGGGGCTTAACGTTCTAGTAAATAATACTACCACCAATCACTGGGGCTTAACGTTCTAGTAAATAATAGTCCCGTAGCTCGCAAACATCTGCCATAGCAAGGTATATAATACAAATAACATAATATAGCGTAATGAGATATTTCCACAACTGTCTCATAAAAACATATTTTAAACTCTGTACAGTGTACCTAAGACCTCGACTACTGTACAAATAAAACCAACCTGAAATATTACGTGTGTATTTAATTGATTAATAATTAATAATTAATTAATTGCATGCACTCACCAACGATGAAGTCAGCAATTGCCAGACTGAAGAGGAAACTGTTGGCAACTGTTTGTAGTTTTCTCACAGATGATATTGAGTAGATGATGTGGAAATTTCCTGAAAATTTATTATTTAATTTATTTAATGGGACGGTTATACGATAATAATGTGAACTGGAACTGTGAGGTTTGAATGAAAATGAGAAAGCCAGTAGCAGCTTTCTTAATTAATTTTAATTCCTGTAAACTAAATCCAAACCTGCCACAGAGATGATGCTCATGACAGTGAATGCAAGTGTCATGACTATTCGTTGCATGCTCATTCCTCCAGCTATCACTTCTTCATGCTCTGACCCCATTGAAGTAACAGCTAAAAATATTTGTTTTTGGATCAAAAAAATCGTCAAAAAACGAGGTCCAAGATTTTCAAAATCGAATAAAAAATGTTCTAAGGCCTATCTCAAAATTCTGGCCCGACAATCTCTTCTAAATGGTCCTTAGAACATATCCTGAAAGTTTCAGGGTGATTGCTCAAAAAATGTAGGAGAAGATAGATTTTTAGACTCGATTTTCAGGGCGCGCGATTCAAAATCGCTCGCGCAATACAATTACACATAAGCGCTGACCTTTGACCGGCAATAATTTCGGCTAAGAACAATATTTTTCCATGGGACCAAAAACAGCTGATAGATATCACTCCCCTCTATCAGAAACAACTATAAAGTCAATTTCGAGAGAATTTTGATGAAGACCCCCCCCCCCCCCCCCCCCGGCCCCCTTAAACATCCGATAAAGGACTGTGCCACACATCTCTGAAGCCATGGAGCTGCTAGAAGACAAGATAAGACAAAAGCTTCTACCAAAGATGCTGGGCAGGGAGATCTCTGACTTAGAGAGAGATGTGTTAAGTTTACCGATAAGATTGGGAGGATTGGGCATTGGTAAACCCCACAAAGAAACCAGTTTGAGTACACAGCCTCCAAGCTGATGACTAATGAGCTGACTATTATTATAAAGGGTCTCAATAAGAGGTCTCGACTGCCTAGGCGTCAGACCTTTTGATACAATAGATCATGGTACATTACTTGTCAAATTACAGGGCTATGGGATACGTGGGGTGGCAAATGATCTTATAAAAAGTTACTTAACAAATAGATCACAATATACTGAAGTTGTTGGTGAGAAATCTGACGCCTTGAAAATACAGTTTGGAGTCCCTCAGGGTTCGATTCTTGGACCTCTCTTATTTCTCCTATATATTAATGATATCGCCAACAGCTCCAGTTTGGGATCATTTGTCACCTTCGCTGATGACACCAATATATTTGTGACTGGGAAATCTAAAAAGGAGGCATATATGCGTGGTAATTCTCTTTTAGCTAGTTTATATTCCTACATGCGAGCAAACAAACTCCATGTCAACTTGTCTAAATGCTGTTTCATTCACTTTAAACCAGCATCGTCCTCCCAGACTGACAATAATTCTGAATATACTCTAACCATTGATAACTTTCCAATAAAACAAGTTGCATCTGCTAAGTTTCTGGGAGTCGTCATCGATGAAAAGCTAACCTGGGAAGAACATATAAAATCACTTAGGCGTTCTCTCAGCCATGCAACATCAACTCTCTGCCGCCTACGCTGCTCCCTCCCAGATTTCTTACACCGCCAGTTGTATTACACTCTATTTGAATCACACCTCTCCTATTGTATCACGGTTTGGGGTGGGGCAGCCAAAACTCGTATAAGTTCTGTATTCAAAGCACAAAAATATTGTCTCAGGGTACTGTTTGGCGACAGGGAGGCATACCTAGATAAATTTAAGACCTGTGCTCGTGCTCGACCGTTTGGCAACCAAAATCTGAACAAAAAATTTTTCTTGAAAGAGCACACGAAACCTTTGTTCAAGGAACACGGAATACTTGCCGTCCAAAACCTGTACACTTACCATTGTTTCCTTGAGCTCTATAAAATCATGAAATTCCGTGCTCCGATTTCCCTCCATGAAAATTTCACCTGCTCAAGTAGGAAACCCACCCTTATACTAAGCCAAGCAGACCCCCCTGACAACTTCAATAGCAGAACGACTCGTATTTGGAACGTAATTGTGCCTAAGCTTGGTATACGTGACTACTGTCTAAGTGTGGCCTGCCTGAAGTCTAGGATGAAGCAATCACTGCTCGTCAACCAGCATAACCATGCTGATCTTGATTGGACAAACAAAGATTTCGAATGCTCTAATCTAAATTTTGACATTAAGTCTACCCTAGGGTCCACACATCCAAAATGATTATCTTGAAATTGAAAATTAGCTGGGTGTGCATTTTCCTTTGTCTTACTAACGTGTGTGAGCGCAGTGTAGTGAGAAAGTGTTTTTAACAGATTTATTATTAGACTTAGGATTATGATTTTTAATATATTACATTGATATAAGATTTATTTTTGATAGGTACTTAATAAAGTTGATGAATTTCCCTCCCTATTAAAATTTTAAACCCATTTAGTGAAAATTGATAAACGAAGATCTAGATATTGATACATATTATAACCAACATTGCTTATATTCTGCCTTGTAAACAAAGAGCAAATCTTCTTAATGCCTTCTTCCTGTCCTAAAACTAAAACTTCATCCTATTAAAGTAAAGGCCAGTTGTTACCACAAGCTATCATACCGTCCCTCTCAAAAACATGCCTCAGCCTCCATCAAAAACAATTTTAGTTTTCAGTCCTTCTAGTTTCCAAAAATCTACCGAGCTAGTGTTCTGGTGTGCACAAAAGCCCCTAAGCCCGTGCATTCCTTGCCCCGCTAGCTGCCAGTCCTTGACAAACTTCCAATAGCAAAGATCAACTAGTCATTTACAAATTGAGCACTATACAATTTTAATTGTTTTAAATATTTGACTTTGTAAAATGAGCTAAAACATTGATTTATTAGTTTCATTGATTTATTAGTTTCATTGGGTAGTTTTCCTCTGGCCCGGGATCAGCTGACCCTAGGGACCAGAGGATAAAGGTGTAGAAACTATATGTATCTACAAAACTTTCAAGGTTGTTTTTACAAGAGACAGGGCTTGCTGCGCAAGGGAAGAAAAGCGGGAGAAACACTCACAAATTATACAAATAAATATTATAAAACATAGCAAAAAGAAATTCAAACAATCCTACACTACTACAAATGTTTATTACATACTACAATGTGATACATGATAATTATATGCTGTATAGACAAGAAACAGGGCTTGCAGGGCAAGAGATGGATCAAAGGGACTAGTCACAGAGTGTAATATACAGTGATTCAGCAAGAACCCATTGCTGAATCTGGCACACAAAATACCACAATCAATACAAAAATATACAATATTATATCAAACAATATGTTTATACAAGAATCAGGGCTTGCAGAGCAAGAGAAGAAAAATAAGAGAAAACTACCATCAACTGTATATACCGTAGTCCATCAGATAGGTAATCATTACTAATACACAAATCAGCAGGGCTAACAACAATATAAAATCCATAATAAATACTCAATCTACCCAATATACGAGTTAAAAATTGTATAAACAAGAGACAGGGCTTGCATAGCAAGGGAAGAAAAATAAGAGGACCAGGTAAAAAGTGTTTATTAGAGTACCCAGTGAAAATTAAACTAAAAAAAAGAGTATTTACAGTGTATTATACACTCAAATATATTATATGTCTAAGACCATCCTGAGAATCCTGGCTGATCCAAGCAGAGCTGTCTTCTGGAGATTAGAGATGCTCAGATTGCAGTGGACTGCGTCGAGGTGTTTACGAAAGTTTATGGTGATAGTTCCTAATGCGCCTATCACCACGGGGACGATTGTGACCTTTCGTAAATTCCAGTTCTTCTTAATTTCTCTTTTCAGGTCTTGATATTTCAGAATCTTTTCTTGTTCTCTATCCAAGATCCGGGTATCTCCTGGGACTGCAACGTCAATGATGGTTGCTGCGTTGGTTACCTTGTCTACCAGGAGGAGATCCGGTCTACAGTGTTCGATAACGTGGTCCGACTGGACATGGAAGTCCCACAATATCTTGACTTGTCCGTTCTCCAGCACCTTCTCTGCCCGGTGTTCGTACCACCTTTTACTGCGTGGGAAGCCGTATTCCTTGCACAGACTCCACTAACTATTATTATTATTATTAAATCTAAAATAGTTAATAATTTAATTAATTATTAACAGGCCCCTTAACGTGGGCAATAACATACGCTATGTGATAATGACCCACAATCACATCAGAGACACAATGGCAAATCTCCTGCGTGAGGTATGTCATGATGTGAAGGTTGAACCCCAGCTACAGGTAAACGAGGGTGACTGTCTCAACCCCAAGACTATAACTGCTGACCAAGCTCGGCTTGATGTATCTGCTAGAGGAGTTTGGACTCCAATCTCCATTTGATAAGACCTTTCTTGAAATTAGGGTTTCACACCACCAATCGCTTATAAAATAGGACAAAGACTCTTCAAGAAGTATACGAAATTAACGAGATCGAGAAAAAAGATGAGTAACTAGAGAGAGTGTTGAATTAAATATGGAGAAGGCAACCTCCAACCCAGCTGTATTTCTCACATCTGGCTCAGGTATGTCGAAAGAGTATAGCAATTTGTAAACAGATAAGCAGATCTCATAGCCAGAAATAGGAAGGAGATGTATTGTACAGCAGGGTGTCAGAATTATTGGCGTGTTTGAAATTGTATGTGTATTTTATGATGAAATCAATATTTTTCGACGGGTCATAACTTTACTTCTGAATATCGAAATTACAAAATTCAAAAACTGGTCTGTAGATAATCGTCTGAACTTTTTCAGAATTTAAAAATTTTGTGTTGATGTACCTCAAAACCCATAATTTAGGCCGTTATTTAAAGGGTCGATTCCATACTTGGTTAGATTTACGAAGGAGTAAGGGATTTATGTACCTCAGTATGACCGTATACGGAAGTTGGTCGATTTTCTCGTTAGTGTTCAGGCTTTCAGCTTATGCACTCCTGCGCGCAGTGTTGTGACCTCCCTTCGTCGTATTTTACACACATTTGGACGTTGGCAATTTATTCCATCGATAATTTTAAAGTTTTAACATTTTTATATTAAATTCTTTTTTTAATTTAGTTCTAAAACGATTGAGCTTGCTTTCTGTGAAAATTTAATGTACTTTCGTAAAATAATTTTGATGTGGCAGCGATTTGAAAAGGAAATTAGTTAAAAATAATACAAAAAAATCGGACATTTTTTGATATTAAAACATGAATAACTTGGGCTGTGTTGACAGTAGAAAAATTTATTAACCTCTATCCGACAGCTTTAAAATTTTTCTACGCGCCGCGCAAATCCACGCGCGCATTTTAGCGTGTCAAAATCGTTTAAAACTAGAATTAGTTGATGAAGGAGCATAATGCAGATCATACGTTGTACGTGTGGCTTGAACATTATGATTTCGCGCCATTTTTTGTTTCTGCACTCGCTTTGAACTTTCATGGCTTTAACAGCAGTTATCGACTGACGACTTTGCTGTATTACATAGTGTACTTGGTACATAATTGATCAACGATAATAGGAGGAACCCCTGCAAGCTTTAAAGGGCTCGTGTTACTTTAACATCACTTTTGAATTTCACGAAAGCAGATAAAAGGTAGGTTTTCGTTGAATCAAAGTAAGCTAATATCAATTAGAACGAGTATAATTGTGTTACTTTAATACATCGCTTGGTACTGTATTTTATAGTTAACTAACGACATTCTCGCTTTAGGTTATTTTATATAAAACACTTTTATCATTGTTGATTGTGACTTGTCCAATCATTGCACTAGTTTATTACAAAGATTATCAAAATCTTGCGGTAAAATTATTATACAAGCACCCATAAATGACAAAAGTCATTTAATTTCAACATTCCTCATTGCTTTTGTGATTTCCTGCAGCTCTTACTACTGGGCAGCTCTTACTACTGGGCAGGTCACCCCGTGGTGGTTCATGGAGGCGTCTAAAAAAAACTGACTGAACTATAATCTAAATATGATAAGTGCTTATTAACCTCTCTGCTTTAATTCAAACCTTTTATAGAATCTACATATGAACTTACAATATTTTGCAGTTTTAGTGACGTTGCAGAAACTCCGGAATACTGTGGATTGGGAGGAGGAGAAAGTGATAATTCTGTTATATGGCCTGTTTCTAGGACACGATAAACTTCCTAATAAGGTATTTTTTTCAGGATACGATAAACTTCTTAATAAGGTATGATCTGTAGCTAGGACACGATTAACTTCCTAATACAGTATGTGTAGATGATAACCTTCCTTCCTCTTCTAGATCAGATGGCTAAGTTACGGTGCAAAGACGGGTAGCTTGAGACTACCCGTTGTTACCTATAATCTAACTCACTCTTTCCACATACGCGGCTAACCTGTTCCCGATCAATATTCAGGTAGTGGAGAACTTAGAGTTAGATTATTTATTCCGCTTTTTGATTTTCCCCAGTCTTCATGCTAGATTCCCGTTCATTTTAGAGCCTCATTTAATCAGTCGGCCTTACTAAAGAACCTCTCACCCTAATAAGAACACGTAACTTGAAGTCTGATCGACTACATAGCTTTCGCTACAGCACTAACACGTGTATTTACAGAGGAGCAAAAGTTTGCGGAGGCATCCTAGAACGGTACATATTTTAACATATCATGCACGGGTGCCATTCTGTTTGTTTGGTTCACAGTTATTTCCTACTCCTAAACTCCGTGTTCGGACTTTTGATTTCTGTACCAGTTTATCATTAACTTAGAGTTAGATTATTTATTCCGCTTTTTGATTTTCCCCACTCTCCATGCTATTATTGCTAGATTCCCGTTCATTTCAGAGCCTCATTTAATCAGTCGGCCTTACTAAAGAACCTCTCACCCTCTTAAGAACACGTAACTTTAAGTCTGATCAACTACATAGCTTTCGCATACCGTTTCGTATCACGTATTTATCATCTCTCCTTCTTCAGAGACTGGCTTTATTTCAACATACCGTATCGTATCACGTTTTTATCGTCTCTCCTTCTTCAGAGACAGGCTTTATTTCAATATACCGTATCGTATCACGTTTTTATCGTCTCTCCTTCTTCAGAGACAGGCTTTCTTTCAGCATGGTTACCCAGAGACTTGATGGTATCAGGGTTCTCGATGTTCTGAGTAATGAATTTAGTTTTTCCCTTCATTCATTCTAAGTCCCACTGTGGCAGCAACCCTTTCTATCTCTTGCATCAGCGTCTCTGTCTCCTTTTCAGTATCTGCTATCAGAGCAATGTCATCCACAAAACCAGTGACCGATATCTTCTCCACCTTGACTCTCCTACTCCTATAAGGCTAAATGGTAAATCCTATTTCAGGGTGCTTGCTTAAGGCTTGTCTCATGCAATAGTCTAGGGCTATTATAATGAACAGGTACGGTATGGTGCTAACATCTGCAAGATCTTAAGGAGAGAGTGGCGTGACACACCCTCTGTAATCAATAACATTTTGCGAAACTTTCAGAAATACTAAGTTTGACCCAGATTTAAAGGTCGCTAGACTGAATGTAATATTTCAGTTAACAACTCTACCTCGATTCGATGCAGTGCACAGTGGGAAAGGTTGAAGTTGACGTTCAAGCAGTCACCCTGCCGAACAAGAAATCTTTCAGGCCAAGAGGCTAGGTGACTAGAAACTCAATCACTATATCCGTGAAACTTGTCGGGAGCACTGTTATGTGAGTTATTTTACCTTCTAAATTCCAATGAGCATGAAAATTACCCAGGTTCATAAAATGCACGAAAATGAACAAAAATTAATATTCTCCTAAAACTAAAAGTGCTCAGAACGGTTTAAAACTGGCCGGAAAGCGTTTAGATTGGTCCTAGGACCACTCAAACCAAGTTTGGGAATCACTGCATGTCTACAACCGATGTAACCAATGTTCCAAAATGTTCCAATTTTGTCCCAATAACTCGTTCACCAGCCTACCTCCGTTCACCAGCATGCGCTGTGACCGTCATGGTCACGGCGCAAGATGCGCGGATTTTAAAATGGAGGGAACACATTTTAATTGCCATTGTACATTATAGTACATAGTGGAGTGTGGAGTGTGTGGTCTGATACTTGATAGTAGACAGAGGTTATATTTGAAACATTCCCGGTGCCTTCAACTGTTCTTTACTGTGCATGCACTGACTATTTGATTGCTTAAACGAATAGGCGAGCCTTCAAAAACATTAGTTTCAATGTTTTCATAGTTTTATGATGCAAATATAATTTTTCCATTTACATAACTGATAATACCCCCAATATCTTTTCAGTTGTGGAGGTCGGACCGAAACTGTAATCAGACACTAAACATTGACGAGGACCAATTACTCTACTCTTTCAATGATTAATAAAGATCGCTGATTGCTTTTACTAATGTATAATGTTAAAATGAAAGAGAAACTATCGAGACGAAAGAGAAAAAGGCACTCATTTATTTATAGTTTTATGTCTTAACAATGATATTCGAAAGCTAATTTTAAAAACTGGCTCTGAATCCTTGCTAAATGATTTGGGAAGGTGTAAGGGCTTAATATGCCTGTAGACATCATTTTCAGTGGGTTTTATGAAGTTTATGATTAGAGTATATTTTGGGACTGAAATAAGCGCAAGACCTTCGACGTTTCTATTCCTACTGTTTTTTTAATTTAGCAAATATACAAACAAATTTTATACTGTTGTAAAGATAAAATATTTAGTTATCGGATAGAGACTTGAAAATTAAGTATTACAATAACCAAGCTAAAATATTCAATGTTAAACTCAAAAATTTTCACGCGTCTATGAAGAAATATTTAGTTCTGCGCGTAGTTTTTTGGTCACATCTACGGCAAATTTTCGCCAATTTTGTTCATAGTTTCAAAATGTTATTTAGTAGACAAATTACTTTCGGACTACATCCATATTGTTTATTTAAGTCTAAAAGAAACAACATTTATTTGACTTCAAAATTGTTCAATCTGAATACGAGCTAATTACGACGAAGGGAGGTCACAACACTGCGCGCAGGAGTGTTATGCTTTTGTTAGGGATTGGGTTAGGGTTAGGGTTGGGATCAGATTTCACCTAGCCATGAGTCTAGTACGAGTACTGCGTGACGCGCTTAATTCACCTCCAACCTCCTGTGCCGCTTTCGGCGGTCGCGCGCTACTGCAAGCGAGAGGGCTCTGGTTTACTTTGGTTTACTGGGCGCCTGTCATTCCGCCGAATCTTTATTCGTTTATATTTTTATGAACATAATAGCCTGGGGTTTCACCTAACCATGTGCTTTCGCGTCACTTCGGGCGCCCTTGTTTACCGCCGTGAGGCGGGCGCGCGCTACTCAATTAAACAAATAATCAATTAGAGCAAGGATGAGATAGAGTTAAAGTTTCGAATAGTCGTTCAGGGCCAGCTAGAGAGCGGGTTGAAAAAGTCACGTGACAGTCGAGTGTTGTAGCGCGATGCACTACTGGGTCGCGCGCGCATCAAATAATGCTTCTCGCAATCGGCGAGATGCACCACTGTGCCTCACCGAGCTGCGAAGGATTGACATCGTGAATCAAAGTAGTGCGTGGAGGCTCAATACATTATAAACAATGGACAAGCTATTTCACTTTTCACAGCGAAATGAACAGAGGGGTGTTTGAATTTGTTATTATTTGATACATGTTTCGTATCCAAATATCAGAGATATTATGGATACACCATGAAGGAACATCTCTGCGCGGCGTAAGTAAATTTACAAGTTCGCGCGAAAAATTGTCTTATTTTCCTGGCGCTTTGTTCTTGCGCCGGGAGTGAATCACTAATTAGCTAACTACTTCACTAGCATAATCTACAATCTAGATCTACAATACGAAGTAAGAGTTACCACGTTACTCTTTTATTTCTCCGTTAAGCCTACAATTCTAATAACTAACAATGGATTATGAGGTCAATTAAATGTCCATAGATATGGATTATAGAAATTATATAAACACATAATTGAACAGCATGAGACAAGTGGAAAACTAACAAACGAATAGATTTCAAGCTCGTAAAGGATCGTTGCTGGATATTGGAGATTTCAAAACTGTAGTCCGACAGTCAAAGTTCTCTTGTCTAACTTTAGTGCGTATCGAACTTGACTCCAGATAGAGCACTTTAGTTCGACAGAGTCGAACCTCAGGGTTTGTCGAACTACATGGTAAGTGACGAACTAGAGTGCGTGTCGAACTTGGGTACGTGTACCGAATTTACCATGGTAAAAACATCTTCACACCGTAAAATGGGCAAAAGCTACAATAACGGTTTCTCCGACATTGTTTACAGCGGGCAATATCCTTTATTTCATTCAATTCTTCTGAAGTGTTCATGACCAAATTACGGCTTTTGCCGGGACAACCTATACACCCTTTTAATTTTGACAGGGCAGCTCAGAAGTAGATGGTTCTAAAACAAAACATAAATAAATCTAATCCCTTTAAAATAAATATGCTACCTTCTAGCTTACTCATAGAACACAACTCGGAATGAGCTTTTATACTTCATATTCAAATCAAGCGGTAAGTAAATATTGATAATATAACTAAATCTACTGCATTATAATCCACCTTGCGTGGCTGAGAGGACCAATTCGTTCTCTCGACAGTTCAGGACTCAGAACCCCTTAAATTTTTTAATGGCAGGTCTATCCTGTGAAGGCACCAAATAAATCTTTGCAATTCCCATCCAAAATTCTTCTCTAAGAGGGCTATAATCCCATTGTGACGTCCGGTGTTGACGTTAGTGGCGTAACAGCCACAAGATCTTAGTGGCGAGTTGTCTAATGTCGATCCTAAGCTCATCACAATGCTGCATCTTTTCTCCCGTCAAGGTAGAGCGACTCCACGTCTTTCAGATTCCGAAGGTCTTCTAACTCATTCTCTTTAGATCGCTGCACTATCTTTGGATTTCTTCAGTCTCCTGAAATATATTATGTCACAATAGATCATTAGATGATACGTAAAGATACTGTACAGGCAATCCATGATTGTTGATTTGTTTGCATACCCAAAAATATTTCTTTTGTATTAATAGCTTATAAAAACCCCAACATTAGGATGTATTTGAAAAGTAACTTAAAACGACATGCAGAGCGACCAATAACGCCTGAATCAATGCTTGGTAGCACAAACCGGAGGTTAAAAATGAATATTTGACCACATGGTGACATGGTTGTTGCATGGGTCACTTGCAAGTTCATATATCACATACCTACTTGGTTTTACATTTCGGAAAGCAGCGTGGGTTTCAGAGTTCCGACTCCACTTGAGGATATGCTCCTGATAGCGTAATCCAGTTTCTTTATATTTGGGATAACCTCCGAAACAGAAACCATGTCCCCCTCCGCCGCTTTTGTGGTGATGTAGAATGGCTTCAGTACCGCAATAGCTTTGGTCAGAAGATCCCAATCGTGAGGAGTCATCTGCAAAATTCAGTTGATCAATACTTAGCCTGTACATTGAGAAGTGAGCTAGGAATTAGGAGGTCCAGCGGACAAGAATTTGTTCCAGTTACATTCCAGGGACATTGATTCTCTAAACTTGATGTTAACTAGTGCTACTCAGAAAATGAGAGATGAGTCAAAAGAGCTGCATGTAAACTGACCTGTTGAGATGCAGACAACGATAACTCTGCATTTTGAGCGGTGATTGTTATTGCATATTTTTTATTCTGAAAGGCCTGGAACATCATGTAATAACTGTTCCATCTCGTGTCCACTGCAACTGGTCTGATGAGAGTTGCCTCTACTGCTTGATTTTCATTCAGTAGACGTTTACCTGCATGTGCGGGATAGTTTAACATATGATAGTTAAGAAATGATAAACGCAAGTCGTAACAATGATAGTTTTGCCAAGATTATGTCACTCAACGAACATGTACCTACGGCAACATTTTAATCAAACGTTATTAATGTGTACATTTCAGTAAGAAAATATTTTGAATCAGCCGTTATTATCAGATTAAGTATGTGACAATGAAATCATCAAACAGAAAACCTAAGGTAAATGTAGTGATTCTCACCTGCAGGGGTTCTAAACTCCTTGATAAGACTCTTGATCTTTTTGATAAGCCAGTTAACTCCACTTTGAGAAAAACAGAATTCTTTACGATGAGATTCAGTAGATGGAGAAAACAGGATCCAGGCGGAAAAAGCCTTTTTCATGTTCGAAGCAGTGTCGCTGATAACGCAGTGAAGTTTCTCTTCGGACAGACCCCATGCCTGCAGTACAAATGACACATTGTTCTTTAACGAGCCACGTAATAATTTGTAATTAGAAACTATGTGGGCAGCTAACGGTTAATATTTTCTACTATCAAAAAGCTAAGCGCACTATGATGAACTCGAAATGAGCATGTATTTCGAATTTTACAATCTATATGGCATTGGCAGTCCTGAGTTCTGAGTTTGAACTTTGATCATGGGGTTAGAAATAAAATATTAGCCTGTACTGGCTCAATAAAATGTGACCTCCAGATCAGTAAAATTAAGGGTGCTGGAAGAGCTGCATAGAGTCCACTAGTATTTAATATTAGCCTGTACTGGCTCAATAAAATGTGACCTCCAGATCAGTAAATTTATGGGTGCTGGAAGAGCTGCATAGAGTCCACTAGTATTTAATATTAGCCTGTACTGGCTCAATAAAATGTGACCTCCAGATCAGTAAAATTAAGGGTGCTGGAAGAGCTGCATAGAGTCCACTAGTATTTAATATTAGCCTGTACTGGTTCAATAAAATGTGACCTCCAGATCAGTAAAATTAGGGGTGCTGGAAGAGCTGCATAGAGTCCACTAGTATTTAATATTAGCCTGTACTGGCTCAATAAAATGTGACCTCCAGATCAGTAAAATTAAGGGTGCTGGAAGAATTTGCATAGAGTCCACTATTATTTAATATTAGCCTGTACTGGCTCAATAAAATGTGACCTCCAGATCAGTAAAATTAAGGGTGCTGGAAGAGCTGCATAGAGTCCACTAGTATTTAATATTAGCCTGTACTGGCTCAATAAAATGTGACCTCCAGATCAGTAAAATTAAGGGTGCTGGAAGAGCTGCATAGAGTTCACTAGTATTTAATATTAGCCTGTACTGGCTCAATAAAATGTGACCTCCAGATCAGTAAAATTAAGGGTGCTGGAAGAGCTGCATAGAGTCCACTAGTATTCAATATTAGCCTGTACTGGCTCAATAAAATGTGACCTCCAGATCAGTCAAATTAAGGGTGCTGGAAGAATTTGCATAGAGTCCACTAGTATTTAATATTAGCCTGTACTGGCTCAATAAAATGTGACCTCCAGATCAGTAAATTTATGGGTGCTGGAAGAGCTGCATAGAGTCCACAAGTATTTAATATTAGCCTGTACTGGCTCAATAAAATGTGACCTCCATATCAGTAAAATTAAGGGTGCTGGAAGAGCTGCATAGAGTCCACTAGTATTTAATATTAGCCTGTACTGGCTCAATAAAATGTGACCTCCAGATCAGTAAAATTAGGGGTGCTGGAAGAGCTGCATAGAGTCCACTAGTATTTAATATTAGCCTGTACTAGCTCAATAAAATGTGACCTCCAGATCAGTAAATTCAGGGGTGCTGGAAGAGCTGCATAGAGTCCACTAGTATTTAATATTAGCCTGTACTGGCTCAATAAAATATGACCTCCAGATCAGTAAAATTAGGGGTGCTGGAAGAGTTGCATAGAGTCCACTAGTATTTAATATTAGCCTGTACTGGCTCAATAAAATGTGACCTCCAGATCAGTCAAATTAAGGGTGCTGGAAGAGCTGCATAGAGTCCACTAGTATTTAATATTAGCCTGTACTGGCTCAATAAAATGTGACCTCCAGATCAGTAAATTTAGGGGTGCTGGAAGAGCTGCATAGAGTCCACTAGTATTTAATATTAGCCCCAAAAAAGCGGTCCTGGTCGAGCCTTGGCTTTAACGAGTTGGAAGCAACCAGAGAGATGGTTAGATGTATAAATTTGGGGATTGAAGTGGTTTGCAATAACCAGAGAGATGTTAAACAAATTGAACAACAGGTTGAACAAAAAAGCATGTGTAAAAAGTTATCGAGTGATAAAATAGGACAAAGGAGAAAGCATAGATATGATCTTAGGCAGCTAGACGCCAGCTAGCTCATCGCGGTGTCACATGACTTTAATACCACGATATCATTGGTCATCTATATATCCAATGCGAAATATAAATATAGCGCGTTTTTCATGAATCAGTAGCGCCGTACAAAAATTAAGCAGTCTGGAACAAAATTACAAGTTTTCAGTTTACAGACATATTGAAACATTTCAATTTTTGTTTGCATGAAGGTTCTAATGACTTAATAAAGTCGTTTAGATAATAAAAATACTACAAAGATACCAAGTAAACTCACAAATATTGCAACTTGGTTAAAAACAATGCATTTAACTGTTTTGGTGGCGCGCGCGCCATCTCAGTCAATTACTCCCATATTTGGTCAAATAGGATAATAGGGACGCAGAATATGCGTCCCTCTAAAAAGTCCGATTCCCTTCATGGTATGCCCCTTTTTCCGCCTTCGGCGGCGCGCGCTTCGCGCGCGAAAAGTGGCATGCAACGTATGTCAAGTTATTATATATTCAAATTACAAAATTTGAAAGTACATTTTTTGCTCGGACGTGGTTTATATGTTATTTGTCAGCCGTTAAAATTATAACTGTTGCATATATAAGTTGGCACAGTTACATCTCCACTGAAACCACACTCCTTAAACTTCGTGCATTGCTGTAACTTCTTTCAAATTTCATGAATCGAAGTAAAATCTTTTGCAATGTATTAAGAATTAATATTTGATTCACGATGTCAATCCTTCCCAGCTCGGCAAGGCCCAATGGTGCATTAGTGCATTTTGCCGATCTACGGTTGCGAGAAGAATTATTTGATGCGCGGCGCGGCCCAGTAGTGCATTGCGCTACAAAATTAATATATACACTTTTACAAATCATTTGGAATACTTTTGAAAAGGCATAACATGCTCAAAAATACTACCAACGTATTTCTCCGTAATAACGATAGCGTGAGTAGCTTTCGTCGAGGTCTTTCGAAATTGATCTTAGAAGATTTCCCGTTCAATTTTGGACGTGGAACTAAACAGCAACTCAATGCAAATTCACATAAGCTTGAAATTGCGTAGTAGAGCAATGGACACAATTTGTGATTTGATTTATTGATCGCTATGCTGTATGCACGAATATTCGTTTAAGAACCGATGATCGATGGGCTAGCAGTATTGCTATACATTACATGAGTTGTTTGTCCACACAGTGCTTGCACACCCAATACAACACCGGCGGCGTGTTACACAATCCTTTTTCTAACATTCTCGAACATCATCGAAAATGGAAATGTGGTAAATTTTGGTTCTCCACAGGGTCTCAGCATTTAGTTTCGAAGGTTCTAAGCTAAAGTGTCAATGTAATTGATCCTCAGAATCGTTAAGTCCTTCAGTAGTAGGACTGATGATAAGATTAGATTATATTCGTAAATCATGACCAGCAGATATGACACCAGCAATATACAAAAGTTAAACTGGAGAATGATAAGTCTACTTGAGTGCAGAGTTATCTTGCAGCTTTTGATGGTTTGTCCTTCTCTGTTCGAACAATAGATAATCTTGAAACCTATTTATTGGTGCCTTTTATCTTCAACATACACCATCTAATGTTTAAGGAATGCTATTGAATCTACTAGTTCAACAAATATTTCACTTGATAACAAGCTTGCAGCGCTTGTGAAACCGTAAAATGCTTGTAGAATCAAATCTGTCTTATCTGCAACCATTCGATGTCTGGTGATGACATTCCAAACCAGTCACAATCACAAGTAAACTATTTCAGCATACATTACTAATTTGTCAGCTATCTAAAGCATTATGTATTACCCTCTAACAAGGCGTTGCATCTGAGTAAACAACTAACTGTTAGACAGTGTATTGGATGGAATGTATACAATCTCAAACCAATTACCTATGAACTATCAAACTCTCAATCTGATTTATTATGTTTCAACTTATCGAATTGAAAGCAGAGTTTATTTTTTAAAACTTTTAAATATCTTCACACGATTAACTTATTCCCCACATCACATTGCTTTTACTAGTTTTTTTTACTAGTCTTTAACTACATTTTTTGCCCACAAATAGGGCATTGCGTAAGTCAATTTTGAGTTAGCTGACCGTGTTTTAAGATTTGTAAATTAGTCCACCAACTGACAAAACAATTAGACCCTTTCTGATTTTTTGATATTTGTTTCTGATGAGAAACATTTGCAGCTGTTCGAAAATACGACTAATCCAAAACCCTCTCCAGTAGACACATTGTCATTGCAAATATAAAAACCAGTCCATAGATAGACCAGCTGTTGTGTCCCTGTGGTATCGTGACGGATTGACTTTCACAGACAAATCTCTCCATAGTGTCCATCTATCGCAAGGACGCACAGTATTGATTGTGCAATGCTAAGCTAAACTATTCCAGAAGGAGCAAAAACAGCCAGGATGAAGTCATTTTCTTAGTAGACAGAGCTACAAAAACGGTCTCAACTTAAAATTTATCTGCTTGATCTTCTAAGAGTTCTCATAAATTAGAATTAGAATTAGAATTAGAATTAGAATCAAATTTACACAGCAATACAATAAGAATAAAAATAATTTAAGAAGCTTCAATCTGCTGTGCAGGACATTCAAGTCAGTCGAAAACTGTTAGCAGAACACCCTTCTAGGGACATAAGGATATAGTATGTAAAACATAATGAGTAATAAATTAATGAGTGATAAAATAAGATATGATTTAACAGTGAACTGTGGGCATGAAGGTAACAATTAAGATTACATAGATGCCCACTTTGGGATTACGTTAGTAATGTTATTTACAGTTATATACAGAGAAGTATAGAACAATAATAGATTGGCAATGATAACAAATGGGAACGAATAAAGGAGATGTTTAAAGTTCTATACTTCTGGAAAAACCTAGGTCATATATAACGCAGGGGGCCTTTCCACCCGACAAAAACTCCAGCACCATAAAATTTGTTTCAGTTGTCACATAGCTAGAGTGTAGAAATAGTCGAAACTATTGTTTATTTCATAGGATGAGACTCCTTGAATTACATCTGACATAAATTTAGATTTCATACATTGTGAGAATTTTACACTACATTCTATAGTCCTTATGTTCTCTGGAATTGTATTCCAACATTTTGCACCTAAATATGTAAAGGTTTTGTGTGTTCTGGATTTGTGAATATAAAGGTTGCACCTCTCAGCATCACGTGATCCTCCGGATACATAAGAAAATTTATCTGTGAATGATGATGGTGCAGCCTCATTAAGAATTTTATACATATACGTTGATAGATGGAGTTGTCTTCTTTAAGTGTAAGGGTAACCACTTCATATTTCGATATACATTTACTGATGGTTCCTGCCAATGAACATCCAGAGCAATTTTTGCTACTTTCTTGTATAATATATCAAGAGAATTAAGTTTGGTTTTGGCAGCCCTACACCATATTATATCCAGGTAGTCAAATTGGGGGAGCATAAGAGCATTTACAAACATTTTTCTATATTTCAGTGGAAGAAGATTTTTCGACCTGTATAATGCCCCTATTCTTTTAGCAATTTTTGATTTCACATAATCAATATGGTCTTGAAAGTTCAATAAATTGTCTATCATGAGACCTAAATATTTTTGAGATTTAGTTTCTTCTATAAATAGGCATTCTTTTTCCAAATCCAGAGGGATTGACAACGTGTCCAGATTAGGTGATCTATCAAATACAATGAATGAAGATTTTGCAGCATTTAGTCTTAGCTTGTTGATTCTAAGCCATTCATACACAATTTTCATATCCTTAATTACATTCTCATATATGCCTCGGGAAATGTTATCAAAATATAGTGCACTATCATCTGCAAATAAGTAAACAGTAGATTGTGTGCAATTTCTACTGAGATCATTTATGAATAAACTAAATAGAATTGGTCCTAATATGCTACCCTGTGGCACACCTGTTTTAACAGGGAGTGATGTGCTTACATTACCACGTATTTTTGTGTGTTGCTTTCTGTCCCCAAGGTAGCTTTTGAACCACTTTATGACAAAGCCATCAACTCCATAATACTTAAGTTTTTTTAATAAAATATTATGGCTTACTGTGTCAAAGGCCTTTTTGATATCTAAGAATACAATTGCAGGTTTCTTCTGTGATTCCTTAGACGTAAATATTTTATCAAATAGATTAAGCATTAGAAAAGTGGTGGAATGATCTTTTCTAAAACCATACTGATGGTTGGTAAGCAGTTTATTTGTTTCAACATACTCTGTAAGCTGTTGGTTAACAAAATATTCTATGCATTTTCCAAGTAGGGGGAGTATGGATATTGGCCGGTAGTTATTTGGATCATTAGGGTCACCAGTTTTAAGAATTGGAGTGACTGATGCAATTTTACATGCCAACGGCATTGTTCCACTTTTCATACTAAGGTTTATAATATGAGCTACTGGATCGATGATTTGGGGAATAATATACTTATATATTTTAATGGGCATGATATCGTTAATCGATTTATCTGATGGTATACTGAGTATATATTCTTTTACTTGTTCAACAGTCACCTCTTCGAATACAGAGAGTTTACACTCTGTTGGAGGCGGCATATATTCTAGGAAGTCGTCTGAATCCTTTTCCTTAATCGATTCTTGTATTATTGTACCAACTGTGGCAAAATGCAGGTTAACTCCGTTAACATTTAAGTTGCTTGGGGAAGAGCTACTTATTTTTCCAGGTAAGTTTGAAGCATGTTTGATAGTTTTCCAAATGCCTTTTAAATCGTTTTTTGCACTTTTCACAGTAAGGTCCTGAACAATATTTGTACGTCTGTTTTCTTTGGATAATTTTGTAACATAGTTTCTTTGGGGACGATAGTTATCCCACGAAGTAGAGCATTTCTTATGTAGTTCACTTTTTCTGCATTTACATATTCCATTAATACAATTACACTTGAATTTGTTTAATTGTCCTAAACACTTTTTATACTTTCTGAAAAGCATCTTCTTCTTCCGTATTTCTGCCAACAGTTCTTTAGAGGGATTACAGAGAAAGTTACTATTACATTTTATCTGTTTAGGTGGACAGTAATTATCATACGATTCCTGGATGTGATGATTAAGTCCATCTAGGGCATGGTCTACATTAGTACAGCTTAGAATATTACTGTAGTTGCTGCAGGATCCCAGAAAATAGCTTAAGGCTTTCAGATTGTTTAAGGAGTGGTCTCTGATAAGAACCTTCTGGAATTTACTAGCTTTACTTACTTTAAAGTCGAGAACACATTTGAGAGCTTGGTGATCTCCTATTCTATCATCAAGTACTTTACACTCTATGAAATTAGAGTAACAGTTAGTCATGACAACATCTATTGTGCTCTGCGTTATCCTACCATCTAAGTTTGCAACTCTAGTAATTCCTGTAACAGTCTGTATCATTCCAAAGAGCTTCATTGTTATATCTAACTTTTTATAATCTAGATCAGATAAAGAGTTTTGGTTAACATTAACATCGCCAATCCATATTACTTTCTTACCCTGAAGTTTCATCATACATTCAGTCATATAATCAAGGAAAGTATCTAGGTGACAAAAGTTTTGTGATCTGTAGAAGCAGCAAATGTAAAGATTGGCATCCTTGAGTTGTATCCATATAGCTTCGATTTTAGAAATATCAGAGTAAGTTATATCTAAATTGAGTAATTTGTGGTTTACATTTTGGTTGATCAATATACCACACCCTCCTCTTCCTCTATCGTTAGGTCTATCACACCTTATAAAATCAAAGTTTAAGGGGAAGTTAAGTGTACTAGTGTCTATATCAGATTTAAGGTTTGTCTCATTAATTCCAATTATGTCAAGCTTTTCGCGAAATATTAGCTCCTGTAGTTCGAGAGTTTTTGCCAGATTAGTCAGGCCACCCTGTATATTACATAGACCAAGAGAGAGATTATCGTTTATTGAGGTACGAATGTGGTAATAATAAAGTTAAAAGGAGGACAAATCTATACGTTTCTTCTTCAAGCAATTTAAATAAAATTCATGACATTTAGTTTTATGTCATGCTGATTTATTTGTGACTTAATAATTTAAAATGTGATTCTTTGATAAAAGTATCAAATACTCATTTAACTACAGAACTTTCTACAATCTGAATGGAGAGACTAAGTTTGCTCATTGTGGGATAAATATTTTAAATGTTTCGCCAACCTGGCGATTCCCTTGATATTAAGGTGAACATTATCTATTCCCTTTTTGAAAAATACCTGTTTCCTTACTCCAGTAACTCGGCTGGTAAATAGTCTATTGGTACGTTCTAAATCTATATAATTTAACCCATGGCTAGAGCAGGTGTTAGAAATAAACCTATTTAATTCGTTGATAACTTCATTTTTGTTATAACTGTTCCTAGGTAAAATATTTATAACTGAAATTCTTGCTCCAATAAACATTCCCCAAAGTATACTAAGTATTTGATCAATTCCTTCTGTTGCATTTTTCATAGAAATATAATTGTTACAGACAGAATCTACGTAGTTTGTGCCTGTTAGTATGAAAACACGCTTTACATCCTTTTTGTCCAGTTTTTTGAACTCCTCATCATGTAACAGCCTATTTAACATTTGAGCAGAGTTCGCTCCAGGGTAGAAGAACACCTTAGCTTTCTGCTTCCTCGAACTTAGTAGAGTTCCGTTGAGGTCCCTGAACATACTGCTGCTGATGTAGATGGTATCAATTGGCAGGTCACTTGGGATCTGTTCAAGTGAAGGAGGCGCTGCAGTTGACTTGGCTGAACTCTTAACTCTGGAATGGTGGACTTCAAATTCACTTTCGTTGTAGGGTACATATCCACTAGCTGTAGAAGGTGATTTTCTTGGTTGACTGCAGACAACTGGTTTGATAAGTCTAAAAGTTAAACTGATCCTTTTGTCTGTGCATAGTGGATCGGGACATAGTTCATGGTTGAATTGATGTTGGGACTTTTTGGACATAAGACATACATCTCCATGTTCTAAAATTAGGGAAGTCACCACTTGTCCTGTTTTGATTTCAGTCAACTGCATCATCCTGGAAGCACCAAGGGACACTGTTACAATGTACGAATCTTCTTCAATAAATTCTTCATTGTCACTATGAGCAGGCATATGTTCCTCTCCAGATTCATAGAGATTGACCAGAACACTGTTGTAGTTGTATTCTGGGAATAGCTCATCTAGAAAGGAACATATACTTGCCATGTAAGATCCCTGGGGGATCTTCTTTGGGTCATGCATTCCTCCACTGTACACGTAAGGATGTTTCCCAAAGTAGACTGATTTCCTGTTATGGAAGTGGTGGCTGAACTTTAATTCCTCAAATAAGATTTCAACAGAAAATTTGCTGAATGGTGCCTGTTCAATAAGTTCAACAGGTGTGATGGCGATATCAGGGATTTCATAGTCTGTAGTAAGGTCTGAACTTGACACAGGTGTTAAATCTAATCCTGCATAATATTCACCACTTCTTGGAATAACTGAGCCAGTGTCTGTAATCTCGCTGGTTGAAATGTCTATGTTGTTAGAAATAATTGATAGAGGTGCTTCTACATAGCCATCATCATCAATCAACAAAAATGATTCTGGTACCTCACATTCATTGTCATACTGAATGTTATTGTTGCTGGAGTCCGTTTGCACTGATACATCGGAACACTTGTATTGAGCAATTGATTGGTTTCCACTTTGAGGCGAAATAGTTTCATTAATCTCTGCTATTGTTTGTGAGGTTTGAACAATCTCCTCTAAAATGAACACTTTACGCTCCAGAAACTTCACGCGAGTTTCAAGATCTGAACAGTTTTTACATTTTGTATCACATTCCATCAATAATTTGCCGAAAAATGTTTCCAATGAATCGTTCATGATGTTGAGTTGGTTGAGTTGGTTGTAGATAAAAAGATTGATTGAAGTCGATTGAAGTTGATTGAAGTTGATTGAATAGATTTGATACCTCCAATTACATTACATTTTTGTCATGTTGGTCATTTTGGTCATACCTCAATAAATGTAATAGATTTGTAGTGTTGTAATTAGTTTAAAATGATGGTAGTTGCTGAACATTTATAGCTTTCCATGGCTCTACTGCTAAGACTATTTGTGTGAGCTCTCCTTACCATCCTAATTGGTAAAGGCCTCAACATTGTGCTCCAAGGACTTCTATTCTATCCCAACTGTATCCTTACCATCCTAATTGGTAAAGGCCTCAACATTGTGCTCCAAGGACTTCTATTCTATCCCAACTGTATCCTGCAGTCGATTTAGCTCATCTCCATGGTAGCAATGAAATGAGGGATTAACTTTCATCTAATAATTTCTTAAAGAAGATTTGATATAGATGGAGTTGTTCTCATCAGATTACAGATAGTTCCCTCTTACTTGTCGCATAGATATAGGTAGAACTAAGCCAAGTGCGGTCTTGATTGAGTGGAAGTGCACACTCGTTATTGAACTAGAATTGCACCACTCTTTGTTACCAACACAGCACCTTTGGAATTTCTGTCCCAAGAACTGACTGTAAGAGGATCATTACTCGATTTATTCTATTCTATGAGTTTCTCTCTTGCACAGTAAGTACTGCCACTACATTAAAACACGAGAGAGCGGAAGACAAGTGTGATCAGGACTCGTTTGCACATTTAAAGATTTGCACTTTTTAAAGTTTTGCACTTTTAAAAGTTTTGCACTTTTAAAGTGCAGCACCCATTTGATGGAGGCTTAAATTACAACTTTTCGTATTCACTATTTAATTTTATGTTTTTGAGACCCCAATACCCACAATGATCTTGTGTGCCTCTTAAGATTAGACTTCTATCTCTATTTTGTATCCCTCTTTGATTTCGGAGTGAAAAATGTTGATCTGACCCTCCCCCACGATTATGAACTGTATGGTTCACTAGAACCTAACTATTCTTAAATTTATAGGCAAGTCACCATGCCGAAGAAGATAATGGAAATCAAGGATTTCCTTCTGAAAGCCAGGAAAACTGATGCCAAATCAGTGAAGATAATCAGAACTAAAGACAAAGTAAAGTTCAAGGTAATTGTTAATCAAGTTTACTTTACCTCAATGCCAATAGTGCCTTTTTGATCGTTGTTTGTCTTAGCCATTTGGATTTTACTCTACTGTAGTGCCTTCGACTTCTCATACATTTATGCAAATTTTGATTGTCACTACAGTTTATAGTTTAATCCTACCGCCAGTGGAACTGTATTCAGAACAAAACATAGCTTAACGCCATAGCCCACCAGCTCACCATGTTATTCCTCCAGGTCAGATGCAGCAGCTATCTCTATACCCTTAGTGTAACGGATCCAGAGAAAGCCGACAAACTGAAACAGTCCCTGCCTCCTGGTCTTACTGTCAAAGAGTTGAACTAGATTTCCAATTCATTTTACCTAACTTGTTTGATTTATCTCCAATTTATGGGCCCCCTATGTATCCCGCTGTCCCCAGACAAGATGACCCATCTCCATCAAGTTTTGTACTTTCTTGGGCAGAAAGTATGCATTTAAAATTTAGTTTTGAAAGGTCATCTTGCTGGAAATCCATGTTACAATTGAGCTTTCTATCTTGTTGACAACATTATTTTACAATGTTCACAATTCATAAGCTATAGTGCGGTGACTAGAATTGAAGTAGGGCTGTCCTCAAACTGTTGAAGCATTACTAAGTGGCAGCAGCAATGGGTTACATAGGGGTATCGACAATCCTGCAGTCCCAAGCGAAATAAAATATTATTACTAAACTGCTTCATTGGTGTCTTAATCTAACCATTGTGTTTAATCTAGCCATGGTTAGAGTAAAGGCTCCGGCTATGCGGGCCAAGTCCAAGGATGAGCTGCTGAAGCAGTTGGAGGATCTTAAGACAGAGCTCTCCACTCTACAGGTCTGTGTGCACGGTGTGTTCTGATTTATTTTTACTTCGTTTTTTGCTCATGTAAGATTTTAGTCACTCTATATTTGCTCTGTCGATTATAGGTAAAAGTTTTTTGACCTGAGCTGAATTAATCTTGGGTGTCAGTTGGTTTTTAATTTTATATGCTCCAAAGTGAATGTTTCGCAACCCCATAATTTGTTGTTTTCCAGGTCCAGAAAGTGACTGGCGGAGCCACAAACAAGCTCAGTAAGATCAAGGATGTCAGGAAGTCCATTGCTCGGTGTCACACAGTTCTCAGATCTAACCAGAGAGACAACCTCAGGAAGTTCTACCAGAAGAAGAAGTAAGCAATTTCCTTCTTTTGTCTATAGCAAACTTTGTGTCTCTCCACTTTTTGTCTCCATTACTTGACCTATTTTTTATTGGGGGGGGGGGGGGGGGGGGGGGGGTCCAACTACATTTTTGTACATGGCCACCAGATTTTTGCCAAAGTACATGTACAAAAATGTACAAAATATGTTTTTTCCTGTTCCGTTTACAGGGATTTCCGATTTTTTGTACATTTTTTATGACCATTAATGTACATGGCCATCAGATTTTTGCCAAATGTACGCTAAATTAGTGTACAAAAATGTAGTTGGACCCCCCCCCCCTGTTAAACTCTTAGATAGGATAAATTTGTTTGTTGCTAACGATTTAGAAACATTTAAGCCTCTATTTGGAAATTAACATCAATCTCCTCTCCAGGTACATCCCACTGGACCTGAGACCCAAGCTGACCCGTGCTCTGCGACGAGCCCTCACTACCCACGAAGCAGCTCGCAAGACGAAGAGACAGCAGAAGAAAGAAGCTCATTTCAGCCAGCGAGTGTTTGCCATAAAAGCATAATTTTACAACGGTTTTTATTTATTGTAACTCGTGTTTCATTGCTTTTTTAACTCGTTCAGTCTTGAATCTCAAATTGATAATTTCGTAAATTACAAATTTCATGATCGTCTCGTTTAGTTTTTGGCTTGGCAATATAATAGATTAGGACACTCGTGGGGAGTTGAGTAGAATCTATTCTTCGGTTTAGAGGGTTAGAGGGCTGTAATAACTCTGATTTTTTCACTTAAAAGTGAGTTTTCTCCCTGAAAGTAAAGGCAATAACCACTAATGTCCAGAAATAGATCAATAGTTTTTGATGAGTTATGGTCTGCTCGTTACATTTAAACATTCTGATAATAAAATACATTAAACTTAATACAACCCACCGATCTTAGCAATGAGAGATAAGTGGAAGAAGAAAAGAATGAGGAGACTGAAGAGAAAGAGGAAGAAGATGAGAGCTAGATCTAAGTAGATCGCTCTATCCCCTCTCAGCTTCCTAAACTCTCTCCCTTAACATCTCTGTTAAATTACCACTCCCTCCTCAACTATGTATAAATCCTTCCCTCTTTGGAGATTCCTTATCAGATTCCCTGTCACTAGATTTAGTAGACTTCTTAGCAAATAAGTGCATAGATCTTGACGATTTGACTTTTTAAGTTTTAGTCAATTTTTGTTGTTATTTATTTGTGTATAGAATTTTTGTGGGAAATTTGATAGATATTATTGCGGTATTTGTTAAGTTTTATTTGATTTATTGGGTTCTCAAACTATTCAGTTACATTGTTACTAAGTTCTGTCAAAAATCATCCCCTTAAAACTTGAATGATGAATCATCTGCAACACTAATAACTTTTCTTATCTTGATTTTTAGCATATCAGAAATTGATTAAATTGTATATTAAAAATTACTCAATCAAATAACTTCCTCTTTCTAGCAATGGTAAAACGAGCAGCAGAACCTGAGACTGAGGAAAATGCGGAGAATATCGACTCAGACTTCAGCGACAGTGACGACGCAGCGTCAGTGTCCGACACGGAGAGTGTAGAAGAGTCAGCACAGGGAAAGAGACTCCGTCTTGCCAAACAGTACCTAGACAAACTAGAAGGAGAGCAGCTGAACACGGAGAATGATAGTGAGATAAACAGAGATTTGATAGCGCACCGGTTACAGCAGGATGTTCTAGCAGAGAAGGGGAAGCTGGAGATCAGGGTTGGTAAGAGGTTGTGTGTACTAGAGAACAAGTTCACACTTAAAGGTCACAGAAAATCACCTACCAGTCTAGCTATTACTGCTACTCACCTGTTCTCAAGTTCTAAGGACGGTGCGATCATTAAGTGGGATATCAGTACGGGTAAGAAAGTGACAGTTGTAAAACACGACTCTAAGAAACAGATTCTCGCTCTAGCAGCATCTTCAGACAACCTGTACCTAGCTAGTGGAGGGGAAGACAAGATGATAATCTTGTGGGATATTGCCACCATGACTTTTGTTAAGTGCTTCAGAAAACACAGAGGGGCTATAACAGCTCTAGCTTTCAGACGGAACAGTCATCTTCTTATGTCGGGGTCAACTGATCGTAGTGTAATCCTGTGGAACTGTGATGATAAGCTCTATATAGAGAGTCTGTATGGGCACCAGGATATAGTAACTGGTATGGACAGCTTCTTACAAGAGCGGGTAGTGACAGTGGGTGGGCAGGATAAAACTCTCAGACTCTGGAAGATTCAGGAAGAATCTCAGCTGGTGTTTAACGGCCACAAGAACACAGTTATAGACTGTGTTTCCATGTTGAACGAGGAGCACTTTGTCACAGGGTCCCAGGATAACGTACTTTGTGTGTGGCACATTAAGAAGAAGAAACCTGCTATCACAGAACTGAAAGCTCATGCTAAGGGTAGCTGGATATCAGCTGTAGCGGCTCTTAAGAATACTGAGTGTTTTATAAGTGGGAGTAATGGGGGAAATGTTAAGGTCTGGGCTTGTGCTGAGACCTACAGATCAATGGCGCTGATTAAATCTATAGAAGTAGTTGGAACTGTTAATTCAATAGTCATACCACAGATAATTCTTGTTTTGTTTTGGGAGTTGGCCAGGAGCCTAAAATGGGCCGATGGTGGTGTAATAAGGACGCTAGGAATAGAGTTTTAGTTTATCCTATGGTAATTGAGGATGAAGAGGTTAACAGATGATAAATCATACTTTCTTTTAACGATTTATCAGAGAATTAAGAAACTAAACTAAACGAAAGCTCTTGTGTAATGATACTGTTTTGATGAAAATAAAGTTATGAATTTGTTCACGTTTGTTGATTTCAATATATTAGATGGTTAACTTGATCTTCGGAAAATAAACTTTAGAGAAAGCTTGAAAATGTATGCTTTGATAATTAATGTGAATAATTTCACATAATAATCCAATTTATTTTTTCAACGTTAAGGGCTATAAAGCTTACCAAATGTGATAATAAAATATCTTAGCAATGAGAGATAAGTGGAAGAAGAAAAGAATGAGGAGACTGAAGAGAAAGAGGAAGAAGATGAGAGCTAGATCTAAGTAGATCCCCACCATCTTCAGATGTTTGGTTTTGAATCTTCTCTACCCCACTCACTCTCTGGCTCTCTTTGGAGATTAGTTGACCATCCTTGAAAAAGACTGGCCAAGAAATTTTTTAGATGTCACTTTGAAAACGAAGACCTAGAAGTGAATTTGTTTTGGATGCTTTTAGACCATTTTTATTTATTCGATTGTTTTCAGTCAACCTGTGTCCAATTATTGCCTCCTGATTTTAATTAAACAATTACAAAATAAGTTGCCAACATTTATCAATTTCAACTCTGGTTATATTTTTGTGAATATTGAATTAAAATCATCATCTTGACTGTCTTTCTTACTTCTGATAATTTACTATTATACAATTATTAGCTGATTAACTAACCCCATACCATTGTAATAGCAGACCCATCTCCCAAGATGACCACATCAGAGCTTGCTTGCGTTTACAGCGCCCTCATCCTTCACGACGACGAAGTACCCATCACCGCCGACAAGATCAACGCTCTGTGCAAGGCTGCCAACGTAGAAATCGAGCCAATCTGGCCATCACTGTTCGCTAAATGCTTGGGTGACAAAGATGTTGGATCTTTGATCAACGCAATCGGAGCCGCCCCAGCTGGTGCTGGTGCCGCCGCCGCTACCGGTGGTGCCACTGAAGTCGCCGCCGAGGCTGAAGCTGAGCCAGAACCTGAATCAGAAGAGGAAGAATCAGATGATGACATGGGCTTCTCATTATTCGATTAATAATTTATCTCTGATGTGTTTTTTAGCTATTTGATATGCTCGTTTTATTTGTTCGCAACATTATGTCTTAACTTGAATCTGAAAAAATGCTCAATGTTTAAAATTATGAGGATTATTTGACATGAAATTTTGTAATTAGATCTAAATATCAGCCGGTGAATTGTTTAAAGATTAATAGAGCACCCCAATCTGACTGTCTGTATATCACGTGACAGGAGCTATGAAGTATCTGCAGATAATACTATCTATATTACTACCTGTTCTGATAACATTGTTACCTCTCACTCTACCTTTCTTATCCCTGGTAAGTTTAACGTCCCCTTTCATAAGAACTTATCAGTTTTAAGTCTAGTTGCAAATTTTATCATTAGATCCATTTCTATTCGTAGTTGTTCAACAACTGTAGTTTATCAGATTACTTTTAAGTCTAATGTAACGATATAATAGTCGGCCCCTGCTTCAAGATATTTACTCATTGTTCGTTTCAGAGCGATGTTGTACTAAGTTGGGTATGTGTAGTAACTCTACTCTCGCTCTACAGCGCCGCATTCCTTTCTATATGTACTCCACAAATCACCAAACCTGCATCTAGGCAAGTTTCTTACATATTTGGGAAATATTATAGATCGTCATCTTTTGAACGAGGTTTAAACATGTCAGGAATTTGAATTTGCAACTACTAACTACAAATGTAAAACTCTTCATATTGAACTAATTTGTTGTTCGAGCCGCCCCGGTTATAGCCTTTAAATTTTCAGGTTAGATAGTATTAAGGCGTATTTCAAGAAGGAGATTCTATTGATCATTGCAACAAATATGATCTTCAGTTACTTCGTATCCGACTGCGTTAATATCTGGTATGTTAAGTCGATAGAAAACGTTTTCTCCAACTTTCTGAATTGAAAACACACATAAATCGTGTACTTTAAGGATCCCAGTATTGTACTGAAAGTTAGTCTGCTTTAATAGTGTCACCCATCTTTGATGTTCTGCATTTTCAGGTTTGACGATGTGCTCCAAGTTAACCTCAGCTTGTTTTGGTGCACAGTTACCTCCCAATATTTCATGTTCGATAGTATTGTGAACTTCAAGTACAAGTATAGTACTTCTGTCGTTAAGGTATACAAATTTATGAAATTTTGCGCACTACAGACTTGAACTCTTTTTCTTTATGTAAAAGCAACTTTAGTTCGTAGCAGAATCACTTTTGGTTTATGTTGGGGAGTGTACGGTCCTAAGTCAACAAATTTCAGGTTCATTATTTTGTGATGCCGCGGTTTAGAGAAAACTTAAAAGAAGTCTTGAAGGTACGTTGGATAGTGGCAACCTTTCTCACAAAGGGTCTACAGCACCGTTTTCTGTAACGCGCGAAAAGGGTCTCAAAGTGGTGTGTTGGAAACGTTCAACACTTTTGTTCTCAAAATTGCGCCGCGCACGCGCAACTTGAACAATTAACGCAGCTTTTACCGACTGCGAGCTAGAAATTTCGAAGTCTGAGCCTGAAATGTCATCTTTTACAGGTTCTGAGGTATCCAGCACCTGCTTACATCCTCTTCTGTAAGTGTTGAAGCTTGTCTGTCTACCCTCTATTGATTTCTATGCCGTAAAACGTATGTCTCTGCCGCAGTACTGGTGAAATTCGGTCTTCATTAGATAGGGGTCGTTCACATTACGTTATCAATATTTAAGCAATTTTTACCCCCCCCCCCCCCCCCCCCCCCATCCGTAATCAAGACCCAACAACCCCCTCCTGACAGCAATATTACGTAATCATGGCCTGGACCCCCCTCTCCCCCTTAGACATTTTTCCCTAGAAAACACTTTTCTTTATGTTTCATGTTACCCTGATCATGCTATCATGATGAGCCAAAATCATTTTTATGATATCCAGCCAAGCACCTTCTAAACTACTTACTATTATAGCCAGATACCCCCCCCCCCCCCCCCCCCCGTAAGCATTTGAAAACCCCCCGGCCCCCCCTCGGCTGATTACGTAATATGTGAACGACCCCACACTGTCGAAAATAGCGTTATTGTCCTTTAAGTATTTTATCAGCTGAACTCAAACTTTTCAGACAAAGACATCACAGCGTTGACTAGTAGTGTTTGTGGCTCACCAACTGAAGAATTATCATTCTACTTTCTGCTTCAACCCACTACAATCCTAAACATCCTTATCACATCACTTGCCACCTACACTTTACTTAGTGTTAGCTTCCAAGCCGTCATCCATGTTGCTTCTCAGAGCGCTCTACCAAAGGTACCATTTCTAAAAGCTCTGAAATTAATAAACCCCCGTAACTAGTGGTAAGTGGAGACCCTAGCTCTACTTCTGATACTTAACCGTGACAGCAGCAGCACCTATTTTATAGTTTATCTCAAACTACCCACCAGGTTAAAGGTCAAGTCTCGATAGAAAATGTGCAGAAAGTCTCTCCAGTGAGGACGTGAGAATCCGGCACAGTGCCATTACAGATCTGTTACGAGAGTGCAGCAACAGTTTCACTTCCAGACAAATAACGCTGAGTCTCCAAGATGGGCACCCGGTTATATGGCATCTTGTGTACAAGGAGTGGCTGAAAACCTTGTACTTATTCAACAAGTCCGTCGGAGAGAAACCCGTTTCAGCCCCAAATACTGAGTTCGCCAAGACAGAGACAGTAAAACCTGTTGGGAGGGCCCTGGTTGAGGAGAAACCGACGCAACTTTTCTCATTAAAAGAGCCTAGCTCCCCAATAATTGAGCAAACTAAACAGGCAGTGGCGAGCAAGATCTCTAAGGTTCTATCGGATGTTGGGAACGATGCTTTAGTTAGTTTCAGAAAGAGTGCCAAAGACTACCTTGTTGGTAGTAGATTAGGTGAGACTTTTCCTTCTAGTACTCTGCTACCTGTTATACTGTTATAGTCTGCAATGTCAGCTGTTCTTCTTACAGGATATCACTTGTACGTTTAGTTTAATCCTTATAGTTTTCACATATTTTCATCACGTTTAGCATGTCTAACTTAATGTGTTCAGGGAAGTACCTTCTGACGGAACAGGCAGAGATAGTGTCTGAGAATAAGTTGAAAGATCTCGGTTTCATGGTCCACGGGTCGGCTCTCTGTGAAATCCTGTGTTGTGTGGCCCCGTCCGAAGATAAGTACGGGGTTGTTCAACTCGTCCTGCCAGAGATATTGAATACTGTCTCTGCTACTCTTAAATCTATCGACCAGGTATGTGCTTAAAAGTTATCCCAGTTTTCAAATGGAATGTAGCATTTTGTGAAAAGTTTCTTTTTGCCGTACCAGTGTCCAAAAGATGATTCACTGCACGTACCTGTCAAAGATATGCAGTACCAGATTATGAGCATATTATCACCAGACTAACGTCTAACCCACATAATCACCAGGTTCCTATAGTCGGCAGCACAGTATCTCACTCCCAGCTAAAGAGATCTCTACACCTCTTCCTGCACCATGTTATAAACACTTACCAGACCAGCATCTTCAATCTGACCCTCAGCAGCGAGACTACAACACTACTGCAGCAGTGCTGCATCTGAAGTGTTGTCCTCAGCAGCGAGACTACAACACTACTGCAGCAGTGCTGTATCTGAAGTGTTGTCCTCAGCAGCGAGACTACAACACTACTGCAGCAGTGCTGCATCTGAAGTGTTGTCCTCAGCAGCGAGACTACAACACTACTGCAACAGTGCTGCATCTGAAGTGTCACCCTCAGCAGCGAGACTACAACTCTACTGCAGCAGTGCTGCATCTGAAGTGTTGTCCTCAGCAGCGAGACTACAACACTACTGCAACAGTGCTGCATCTGAAGTGTCACCCTCAGCAGCGAGACTACAACACTACTGCAGCAGTGCTGTATCTGAAGTGCTGTCCTCAGCAGCGAGACTACAACACTACTGCAGCAGTGCTGCATCTGAAGTGTTGTCCTCAGCAGCGAGACTACAACACTACTGCAGCAGTGCTGCATCTGAAGTGTTGTCCTCAGCAGCGAGACTACAACACTACTGCAGCAGTGCTGCATCTGAAGTGTTGTCCTCAGCAGCGAGACTACAACACTACTGCAACAGTGCTGCATCTGAAGTGTTGTCCTCAGCAGCGAGACTACAACACTACTGCAGCAGTGCTGCATCTGAAGTGTTGTCCTCAGCAGCGAGACTACAACTCTACTGCAACAGTGCTGCATCTGAAGTGTTGTCCTCAGCAGCGAGACTACAACACTACTGCAGCAGTGCTGCATCTGAAGTGTTGTCCTCAGCAGCGAGACTACAACACTACTGCAGCAGTGCTGCATCTGAAGTGTTGTCCTCAGCAGCGAGACTACAACACTACTGCAGCAGTGCTGCATCTGAAGTGTTGTCCTCAGCAGCGAGACTACAACACTACTGCAGCAGTGCTGCATCTGAAGTGTTGTCCTCAGCAGCGAGACTACAACACTACTGCAGCAGTGCTGCATCTGAAGTGTTGTCCTCAGCAGCGAGACTACAACACTACTGCAGCAGTGCTGCATCTGAAGTGTTGTCCTCAGCAGCGAGACTACAACACTACTGCAGCAGTGCTGCATCTGAAGTGTTGCCCTCAGCAGCGAGACTACAACACTACTGCAGCAGTGCTGCATCTGAAGTGTTGCCCTCAGCAGCGAGACTACAACACTACTGCAGCAGTGCTGCATCTGAAGTGTTGTCCTCAGCAGCGAGACTACAACTCTACTGCAGCAGTGCTGCATCTGAAGTGTTGTCCTCAGCAGCGAGACTACAACACTACTGCAGCAGTGCTGCATCTGAAGTGTTGTCCTCAGCAGCGAGACTACAACACTACTGCAGCAGTGCTGCATCTGAAGTGTTGTCCTCAGCAGCGAGACTACAACACTACTGCAGCAGTGCTGCATCTGAAGTGTTGTCCTCAGCAGCGAGACTACAACACTACTGCAGCAGTGCTGCATCTGAAGTGTTGTCCTCAGCAGCGAGACTACAACACTACTGCAGCAGTGCTGCATCTGAAGTGTTGTCCTCAGCAGCGAGACTACAACACTACTGCAGCAGTGCTGCATCTGAAGTGTCACCCTCAGCAGCGAGACTACAACACTACTGCAACAGTGCTGCATCTGAAGTGTTGTCCTCAGCAGCGAGACTACAACACTACTGCAGCAGTGCTGCATCTGAAGTGTTGTCCTCAGCAGTGAGACTACAACACTACTGCAACAGTGCTGCATCTGAAGTGTTGTCCTCAGCAGCGAGACTACAACTCTACTGCAGCAGTGCTGCATCTGAAGTGTCACCCTCAGCAGCGAGACTACAACTCTACTGCAGCAGTGCTGCATCTGAAGTGTTAATGTTTGACCTAAGAGTTGTTTTCTGCTCATTAGAAAATCAACAAGTCTAACCTGAAAAACTTCTCACTGGAACTTTTTTAATTGATTTCATCTCTATGGTAACGGGTTGTGCTTCTCAAAATTCTCAACATTTCGGATGACGTGTTTTATTCTATTTTAACTCAATTTATTTGTATTTTGTAAATTATTTGTTAAGAAATTTTACCGTATATAACGAATTTAATTTTTTGGTAATCTGAGTAAGTTTCTTTATTTTCTTAGTATTGCTTTAACATGCTACGTCAGTACTGTAGACTGGAACTAAGATCAGTAATGTAAAACAGTGGCCTCCCCCCGGAAGGTGCTGGCTTGAGATTCCTCAAGCCAGAGTTATAGGCAGTATCTCTGTAATAAGATAGTTAAAGTTTCAATACTGATATTTGGCAGCCTTTCTTGTCGCTGCAATTAGTCAAATGTCTGGCGCCGGTAAGCAACATCTTTATTAAAGGGAACAAGGAAAGTCCTCATTCCTGGCCCATAATGTCTATCTTTGTCGGAATAGTGTATCAAATGTCTACAGCGTTAAACTTTGTCACTCTTCTCCCAACATTGTTTGCTAAATACGACAGTCTACGAGCTAAAAGTACAGCTTTAGTAGTACTAACAATGAATAGTATTACAATTCCTCCATTCCAGGCTCTAGTGATGTTATCACCAGTTCAGTTCACTGCACGAGCGGCAGACCCACAAAAGGCATCTGTTGATTATACTAATAGCACTAAATAAAACAATAAAGACCGAAATAATAATAATTAAAATATTTTACGAAGATGAAAAGTAAAACTTAAAAGTTAACCCGATTAACTTATTACACCGTTTATTGCATTTTACGTTCAATAGATTAGCTTCACTTATACAGTTCGCTTATACAGTACGTATCAGTACGTAATATTAGTCCAATAACATGACCCAATCCACCGTAGGCAGTGGGGTTACTTAAACGCTAATACGAACGTCCCTAGTTTGCACCTAAAGGTTCAAACAATAGCTTCAACTGCGTCCTGGTGCTGGTGTCCTTCACATAAAGGACCTGTTGCTAGACCCCTCTTATCTTGCTAGACCCCTATTACCACACCTGCAGCTGTTTATCTCGTTAATATAAAGACTAAAGAGCTGCCCCTTTGACCAGCTCCTGTGGCCCAGGAGTTTCTTATCAGTAGCGCTTAAGAATCCCTGTCATTTAGGGACTACGGGTGGAAGATGAATAATTGATATTCCAACAGCAACTTGTTCCCTGCATTGTGCTGATTCCGGGAAGCATTCTGTTTACGCTCTCATCATTCTGTAGGATGAGATATCGTTCATTTAAAATTGGGTAATTATAGGCCTGTCAAGGATTGCAGCCTAATTAAGAGCTGATCAATTGCAGCTAGTTGTGCCATATAAGGGATAACTGAGGTCACGTGACATTCAGTCCTATCACGTGACCGCTAATCCTATCACGTGACCTTGATTCGTAAAGCCTCGGGCACGTGATCACATTCGTAACGTGTCGTATGCCGACTAGGAGATTTTGTGACGTCACCAGAGCTGAAGCTACTTGATCAGGCCTTATATGGAATAATATCGTGTATCGGGTGTAATTGGACCTAATTAGAGCAGCTGAGCGCTCAATTATAGCAGCATCTGGTACCACCTTCTGAAACCCAGCAGACAGCTGGCCCAGAGAATCGAAATTAGAAGGATTTTTTATTGATGGAAATCGAAGCGGAAACCTTGTAACCCTATGTTTTCGATGACGCCGAACAAGATTAAACAGGTTATAATTGTCCTACTCTCGTGTAAATTGCTCTAAAACGTGATTGAAATTTTAATGATGCTATCAACTGTAATACAGTTTTTACATTAAGCTGAGCGGCGTAACGGCTGGCATTCCTGGGCCGCACTCATCCCAGATTGTCATTCCGCCGCAGCTTCAATTTTTATGAATATTACAGCCTGGGGTCCCCAGGTAACGACTGGAACCGCTATATCTGCCTAATCTCAGTTATTGTAAATAACGAAGCCTGTGATCCGCACATCAGGCATTGAACGGGCTTGAATTGAACGTCGTGTTATTACTATGAGAAAAATCATAGTATCGGGTAAATTTTTTCAAAATGCACTTGAATGTCATCAATTTGATTAAGTTATCATAAGTTGAATAGCTGGCGCATTTACAGTGCTACGTTTTCAATTATTCTACGAACACTTGGAATTAAAATCTATATATATATATTGCATTGTTTAATACTTATAATCAAGATTCCTAAGTTCAGTGTGTGGACGAAGTATAGCGATGGAATCACTAACATATTTATGACTGTTTGATATTTCTTTGCTGCAGTCTGCATATCATCCAGAGAAAGCTAATTTTAAAGAAGTAGTCTCGAAATTTTCGGGAATAAACTCAATATTGTGAAACATCATACAAAATATTATATAACGAGTGTTCTCTTTTAATAAATCATTTCATTAGTTTTTTGAACTTCCTCTGTTTTCCTGGATTTTGTTGCCTATCCTCAGAGACAACAATATGGTGCCCTGCTTTCATGTCTTTGTTAGCACACTTCAGCTTTGATTCTGTCATCAGTGCCACCGCTCTTTCGACTGCTTGCTGGTGGCAGGGATATTTCGTCACCAAAGGTGATTCAATGAACCTGTCGAATTGATCAGGATCAGAGGGATGCACTCTTACTACCGATGGAATAGTGACAGCAGCCCACTTCAGCTCTTCTGAAATATAACTTGTTATCATAAACTTTCCTTTTTAAATTCAATACCATCCGTATTGTTTTCACTTTGATCTTATAGCTTTGAATACAAACGTATGTCAATAACTTTATTAATACAATAATATAATATTTTAATAGTTACGTCATAGTTAATACAATTTGAAATGAACTTACTGCATGCAGTTTTGTAACAGAGACCAAATAAATGGTACGGCATAAATACGAAACAGATTTTATTTAGTTAGATGAACTTACTGAATGGGGTCGACATCGTCAGGAGTTGAGGAACAGCTAGGCTGGTTGTAATCTGCTGCTAATCCAGTTATATTCCCGGAGTTCGAAGAGGATGGTGACTGTTCAGGAGATCTCACTCTTGTGGAAAGATTGGTCAACCTGTCCCGCATATTCCTGAAAAGAATGAATTCTAGATTATTTAGTTGATTTAAATATTATATATTATACATCTTAATCTAGTTCCGGTGAACCTGCATCCACTCTGATTCTAACATAGACTCCCTTCCGACCGATTTACTTTTACTTATTATTCCTGACATCACTTTAAAGCTTTACTGAGTAAACATTACATCTATCAATGAACTAATCTTGATTCGAGAATCGAGAGAGATATTATTTAAGAATTTTAGATATATCAGAGCATGTGTATAATCTATCAGTCTTATCCGCTCCCAGTATCTTATCTTAATATATTATCTTAATATTATCTTAATAATATAACTTACTGTAATGGATCAGGAACATGGGGATCAGGTACATGGTGATCGTCTGCAGCACGATCTCTACCAAGAAGGAACTCCTTGTCCAAGAAGGAGTCAAAATTTTCAATCGTTTCCCTTTTCCGCATGTTCTTACGCTTTTTCAATTTGTCGTAGAGGCCCTTGATCTTCCTGAATTATAATTTCATTAATATTGTCATTTCAAAATAAAATGAAAACAATTTTTCTTACCTTGTTGCCAGAACTAAAAGGGCTGTCATTGCTAGATGAATATCATGAGATCACTGACGGGATCATCGTCGACGTGGCTGGATCGGCAATATACTGCAGTCTCGTGTGAAATATTGCTCTGGCCAGCATGAAGTGCAGTCTTTGCTCAATTAAATGTAGAAAGTTTCTAAATTACATTACTGTAAGAGAAACTAAGTGCCTAATATAAATATGCATACAGTACAACTACAGATTGTTCAATGTTCATGAATCATTGGTTTCATGGTTTTAAACATTATATACATCTGTAGATTAATTTATGAAAGATCGATCGGCTATATTTCTCTTATTTTCCCAGCAAAAAATATATGTTTGAAACCGGACTGATGTATCGTGAACAGCCTGTAGGGTAAATACCTAAAAAACACTAGCACTCACTTGACAATATTGCAAGGCTGAAAGAAGTCCGTTTGCCTGTACATTTCGATGGTACTGTAATGACTTAATATCAAACTTGAAACCTCGGCCAGCATTAAATCTACATGAGTCGCATGGTTTTCCTTGCGGCTCAAAAGAAAACGAAGGATGTCCTTGTTTGTCGAAGGACTGTGACATGGAAGGCTGTCACACGTTCCATCAATAAAATCGGACAACTTCATTGCAATATTGAGAAAACTATTTGAGAAATGATCACTATTCATATAGCGGTGTTACATTGATTTTAGTTACGTTGCAATTTTACTCGACTCTTATCAGTTCACTTCTTATCAGCGCGATCGCAGTAAGTTTTACTGTGTGCAACAGTTACATAACTGTAACTGTATAATACACATAACATTAACTCTGTAATGCACTTCAAACTGCAGTATAAAGAGTACGCACTTCGCACAAATGACAAGAAGGTAATAGTAATACGATTTTTGGTATTAATATCTTAATATTAATAACACGGCTTGTTCGATTCAAGCCCGTTCAATGTGGTCAATACCTGATGTGCGGATCACAGGCTTCGTTATTTACAATAACTGAGATTAGGCAGATATAGCGGTTCCAGTCGTTACCTGGGGACCCCAGGCTGTAATATTCATAAAAATTGAAGCTGCGGCGGAATGACAATCTGGGATGAGTGCGGCCCAGGAATGCCAGCCGTTACGCCGCTCAGCTTAATGTAAAAACTGTATTACAATTGATAGCATCATTAAAATTTCAATCACGTTTTAGAGCAATTTACACGAGAGTAGGACAATTATAACCTGTTTAATCTTGTTCGGCGTCATCGAAAACATAGGGTTACAAGGTTTCCGCTTCGATTTCCATCAATAAAAAATCCTTCTAATTTCGATTCTCTGGGCCAGCTGTCTGCTGGGTTTCAGAAGGTGGTACCAGATGCTGCTATAATTGAGCGCTCAGCTGCTCTAATTAGGTCCAATTACACCCGATACACGATATTATTCCATATAAGGCCTGATCAAGTAGCTTCAGCTCTGGTGACGTCACAAAATCTCCTAGTCGGCATACGACACGTTACGAATGTGATCACGT